GTCGACTTTAAATGACTGAACTTAATGTTAAATGATATGTCATGAATTTGCCGTCATTGTTACAGCTTAGATCAAATCATTTGAATTGAACATCATTACATCAAGTTTAATAATGTTAAATACATTCATTCAATTGATATTCCATGCAAATATTCCATGTTATTAACAGACAAACACATTATAAAATAACCAATAAATACACAATGTAAATAATAAAATCCATTTTCCAAACCTTTTCTCCTATGTTGGGTCATATAATGCAACTGTATAAATTATTCACACCCCAGTGCATGCTGGGAAGGGGGACTGAACTGCTAAATCAGTTTTTCAATGAAGGCCTATTTAAAAAATCACAGTATATTGTAATAGAAAAGCTGCATTAAGATCCAGAAAGCTGTACATTGTTAGATCTCCACGTGAATAAGCAAGACAAAACAACTAAAATAATCAAGGAAATTGGTATTTTTTCAGTATTATTTGCTGGATGTAAGAATCCATTTAAACAGTGTATTGTGACTTGGGCAGATGTTTAGATGTTCTCTCTTTTGTTCAGGTTACCATACACACCTAATTGCACTATATAAAGCCGTGTGCAGTATCAAGGCATTCATCTTTTTTGCGTCTTCAGCCTTCCTTTCCTTTTCTTATATTCCCCACAGACACCACGCAGCATTAACAATGTGGTTGTGTGTAGTGGACACATTTGCAGGCTGTCACAATTCAAGGCACGTGGATATTTATAGAGCTTTCCACTCCTGACACCTTTGTCCTCTGCTTATACACTCTTTTTCTCTGATTTGCTGTATTTTGCTTTCTAGATTTTTAAACCATCTACATACTAATTTGTGTGTGTGTTGTCATGAAGTCTTAGGTGAGTCATTCTCCAAAAAAACACACGCTGTTGAAGTTTATACAGTGCGAGAGCGCCACACTCTCATTACTTCTGTGTTACAATAACTCAAATTATCACAGAAGTACTGGCATTAAAGTTTATAGTTCGGATATAAACACTGATGTCTACTATATCGATCAAAATAAAGTAAATCCCCTTTTGAATTGGTAAATTGATGCTTCAAATAAAGATTGTATTAATTACAAGTGACTGTTAGAAAAATGTGTCATTGAAAAGATTTGTTCAAAACGCTGATTCATCCAGTAATAAAACGTGAAGTCTTGATTCATTGATTCGAGTGATTCATTGAATCATTCATTCAAACTACTTTAAATTAAATAGACTGCAGCAAGTAACATTGTCAGAACCTGTAGTAAAATACATATTTTATTTTCTATAAAATATATATATTTAGTTGTCTATTCAGAATCGTGGGAGAATCACAATCTCTATTTTAAATGATTCTCAATTTATCCAGAATCATGCAGCTCTAAGTGAGTCACTTCCGAACATTTATCCTTCTTTCACCCTTAGCGTAGGTTAATGTTTATCTCTCTGTGCGTAACTGATACCTGGGCCATCAGCTTGCTGTGATTGAATTAGGGTCAGAGACTCTGGCATTATGTGCAGATGTTTTGTGGCGTACAGTCTACAGAGTCCAGCTCAGCAATGTGTAAATCCCTCTCTATTCATCATCCCCTTCTGTTTACCCATGGCCCATATCTATGTCCTCATGCTTTCATCTCGCTGGGGCTTTTATGGCATATTAACAGTCCAAGTGATGAATAAGTGAAGATTTAGTCTAATGAGGACCACAGCAGGTTCCTTTACAGCGTACTTCATCTTCATAGAGAATGAGAAGAACGAAGCAGATCATGCATCATTATTTCAAGGTTCATTTCATAACCCACATACGTAAGATGTTAAAGACATAAAGCCTTCTAACATTTACCTGTGACTTATATTTCCTTGTGCCAAACCTGGATGGATACATTGTTTGGATCCTGAATGAAAAGTCCGTTGCTGGATAAATTGTTGGTTATAGTGGGCTGGAATTTAAAATAAAATCAAATAAAATTCTGTCATCATTTACTTACCCGCTTTTTCTGTGTATGATCTTTTTCGACAAGCAGATCCAGTCGGACAAGACCAAATACATTAACATTGCCACGTTCAATAACATGTTAAAACTATTCAGAGAGTTGTCATGATTGAACTGACATTTATCAACATATTAATACTTGCTATAAAAGAGAGTGCAAACGTATTTGGCTAGTATGGGCTGTTTGCAGAGTTTAGTTTTCTTTGGTTTGAACTGAAAATAAAGTGTTTTCTAACTGCTTTCTTCTTCTTTTTTGTGTGTTTACAAGGTCCATTTGTTGTCTGTGCATTTGTTGGTTTCACGAGGTTATTATATATGATAAGCTTTTCTCTCCAAAATTCAACTTGGATCAATTGTCAATGCAGGCATTACATCAGAGAATGATATCGACATGATTTACAGCCAACTCATGTGCTTACCAGGAAATACAAACACTCGTGGCACCGCATTGTTTTCACCTCGTGAGACTGTCATTTTTGCTGATTTGAGGATTTGATTTCTGCTTTTGGCAGATTCTCTTTGGGCTTGGGGGTTGGGTTCAGAACTTGCTTCTCAGCTGAAACGCTAGCCGCACGTGGTCTTTGCATGGACTAATGTATCTTTTTTTACTGCGTTCATCGTTTTTGATGGAAACCTATTGGGGGCAGCTAAGCAGTTTCTGGGCATTTTCTTCCTCTGTCCATCCAGTCAGATTATTGATGATTCAGGACTGGGGAAACTGGGCCTTGGCTTTCAGTGCTTTTGGCCTTTTTGTTTTATTTGTATTTTTTTAAGTTTGTTTCATGAGGGATCGTTTTACCTACAGTACATTAGTTTGGCTCTAATCATTCATACTCAGCAGAAACGGTGCAGGGATGAAATGACCTTTTAGTCTTCTGAGGTTTTCCAAAATATTAGTTATGCATAAAGAATGTTTGAAGAGCACGTTTAAAAGGTCATACTTTTTTCTAGCACTTTGGACTTAAATTCTTGTGCACCAGAGACTGCAGATTGCGTACTTTCAGAAACTGTTTAAACGTAAAACTTTGGAAAATGCCTCCAGAAACCAAGTCCATTAGATGCGTTCGAAAAGTGTTTGTGCATGTTAAATTAGCACTAAAATCCATGTATTATTAATCCTGTTTGTTTACTTTAAACAACAGGTGTTTCCACTCACCCATGATTTGTCAAATAGATTTGTTTTCTGCTTCTTTTCCCCTGGATTACAGCTTAATCCGGGGCTTCTTTGCTGATTTTTTTATTTTTATTGACACATTCTTTGGGATGGTAACTAAACACAGTAAACTTTGGGAAGTTTCTTATTATCCTCCTTGGGCTTAGGTGTTTCCAGCCTCTTCTGATGTCAGGTGATAACCCTCTAACTGTAATGTATTTTGAGGAAGACGTTAACTGGTTGTCTTATTCTCCTTCCTCTTTTCTGAGTGAATCAGTGTACATCCGCTCATTACGACCTGTCAGACTCATAACAATTTTCACTCCTTGAGTGTGTGCTATTAGCATACCCCGTTTATATCAATAACTGACCATGAGAAAGCCTCAGGAGTTGTATTTCAAACGTCCTTAAGGGCCTCATTAAGCAACAAGGTTCTGTTGTTGTGACTATTTGAATCATCTCACATTTCCTCACAACCCTGAAGAAGGACACTGTTGCTCTTATCCGTCTCATTACGGCCAAGAGCACAGCTGAACAATTGCACTCTCTCCTCCTGCAGTTAGATTGCAAAACTGAGACGTAATGCGAGCGAGGGACGGTACGAGCCAGCGGGCCAGATGTGTGGGGTTTGGGTCCCCGTGGGATTTGGCATCTTCCCCAGCAGCAGCTGCTTGCACGGAGCCGATCGGACTCCAACAACTTCCCTGAGAACCGTGGGGCGAATCCAGCTTTTGTTGCGCGGCGCTTCAGCTGGGAGCACCTGGAACAATCCTGGTGCCCCAGTTCTTGCAAAAGAGCCCCTTTTCCCAAAGAGTCTGAGTGCTCCCGAGAAATGGCAGGAAGTAGGGATGTAATCTCTGCTTTTATACACTCCATTTTGAGCGGGCATGCTGGGCTTTCCGAGCGGGGTCTGTGACAGCAGTGATTAAGTGCATCTGTGTGTATAAGATAAGTGCCAACTTGGATTATGGGGTGTCATTGTCATGGCGCCCAAGTTTCTCGGTCCACCAGAGGCCAATATCCATCAGTACGTGTTGATCACATGTTTGTGTTTGAGTTTTTGGACTGTGTCATTGTGATACTGTTCAAAAGTTTGGGGTCAGCAAGATATTTTAATATTTTTGAAAGAAGTCTCTTATGCTCATCAAGGCTGCATTTATTTGATCTAAAATACTGTCTTTTAAAGCAACACTAAGTAAGATTTTTTACCTTAAAATAATGTTTCAAATATCGTTTCAGTGGTTCATTAAGTCGTAACAGGGTGAAAGGCACTTCTGGAGTCGCTTTGCGGTCCTATATCTGCTATAATCACGCTATGTAAGATTGCCAGATCGGGTCGAGTTTCTGTAGTTCTAATGAGACATAAGAAAACTACAAATTTGACTTGCTTTACGTCAAGCGTTACAATAGTCATTATTTTGTTTTTCTTCGTTTCTGATGTCTCACTCGGATACTCTACCTTGTCTGTGGACATCGTTCATTCCAAAGCCGGTGCTGATAAACAGCGAGCGTTTGTGCGACAGTAGGCTGCGCTAGGCTAAATTATTCACCACAGCGGTAATGGACAATTCCACTTCCAACCTGTAGGGCGACCGCAGAGGAAAAGTTACTTGGTGTTGCTTTAAATACTATATTTTCTTTTTTTTAAAAATCTTTTTGACCGCAGACTTTTGAAATGTAGTGTATGTTTTTGTTGTTTTTGATTTTTTTATTGTTTCCTGAGGTATCATGGTATAGATTAAAAAATAAATAAAATAAAATACTAATTATAAAATCTGTTTTACATGATGCCATATTACCATATAGTTTTGTATTTTGATCTGTTAGTTTGTGTGTGTTTGTTTGTGTTTCAGTTTTCTCCTAGTGTTCAGCTGTCTGGTGCTTTCTGTTTTCTCCACCATTCCAGACCATCATAAATATGCCAACGAAGCGCTCTTCATCCTGGTAAGGGGTTAAAATCACACAAACTATACCTTAAACAGGCTAACAATACTGATCCCTCTGGAGGAGAATGACGTCATAGTAATGCTGACACCACAAGAACATGCACCGTCCCAAACCTTTCACTAGCGACTGTCCTTAGCGGGGACGTCAGCCGGCAGGAGACTGTTTCATGCTTTTAAGACTCTCCCAAAAGACACCAGACACTGGTAAAACATAATGTATACCCAGCTAACAAAAATATGTTCTTAGAACAAGTTGCTAACGTTTTATGAAAATAATGTTCTCTGAACGTTCAAAACATCCAGTTTTTTAAATATTTTTTCTTGGTTATGCGGTGGGAACATTCAATTTGATAATTTTACAAACATTTATGGGAATGTTAATTTTGTTTATCTTTTGTTTACTAAACATTCTGGTACACGTAATATGTTAGACAAATGCCCAACTAAAACATTTCAGAAAAAACATTCCATGAATAATGTATAAATAATGTTTAACATTATTTGAGAACATCATTAAAGACTAGATAACTTGAACAAACGCTCTATTAACGTTACTATAAGAAGTTGCCAAAGTTCTGAGAATGGTCCCTGTTAGCTGGATAGAAATAATAGCAATTTATGTTTCTTGTAAAAAATAATTATTTTGTTCAGAAAATTGAATGGCCATCAATAGAGAGTTTTTTTTATGTCTACAGTAGATGGTGTAATTACAATATAAACCTTTTTTTAAGTACAGATGCAACTGCTCGTTTATTTATTTAATATTTTGGCTAATTTGATCTTGCGTTCAGCTACCAATAAAAGTGTACTGTCAGCTCCATTTAAGACATTTTACCATATTTTCAACACTGAAATGCTCTGAAAATGCAACAAAAAACAAGTCAGCAGGGCCTACTCATAAATGCATGTGCCCCACAAATATTTTTAAAATAAACAGAGAAATCACAAAAGTAGAAACGGAGAATTATTTCTTGTTAGTTCTTAATTAATGGCTGAATCAGAGCCTCGTCTCCAAACGGCTTTAAATCTGACACATTATGCTGTTTTTTTTACATCTATTAAATTGCATTTAAATGAATCCACTCACTCTCTCTTACCTGTAGAGCAAATGGTTTGACTTCCTTCCTGTGTTTTATATCCAAAAATGTAGTTAAAAAAAAATCAAAGTTGGCAGCCACAGACTGCCTGATCTAAGTACCTTCACTAAACAGCATATCCACATTGTCTGTGCCATCTCTAATACATTCATAATAGCCCATCATCTGAATAATTAATCGCACAGTGCTTTCTCCGTGGCTGTTAGCCTGTCCAATCACAGTCTATATATCTAGGTGTTTTTGGAGGAGTGTCTTCAAAAAAGGTGACATTTTTTCTGTTTGCCAGCATTATGGATCAAATGTGCCGTGTATGCAAGCCTGTTTTGCTGTCCATTGTGTTACTAAGCGGTTTATCTTATTAGTCCAGCCGGCATTATTCTGAAATCCTTTGTAAGCATAAACGTACATTTATGCTGTAGAAAGTTTTATAAGGATTGTAACTATAAATTATTATAAATTCATTATAAGGCTTTTTGCTAAAGAGTCTTTCTGCGTCCCGTTCATTTTAAGGAATTACAAACTTTATTAAAGGGATAGTTCACTTTGAAATAAATTTTTGATATGTTTAAGCTTACCTCAAGGGCATCCAAGATGTAGGTGTCTTTGTTTCCACAGTATTTTCAATTTTGATATTTTTAGGTCAAACCGTTCTTGTCTGTCAGTCATATAATGCAGGTATATGGGGTCCACCTCAAAGAGCATACACAGAGAAGTCCAAATTAAACATGATTTAATGACTCGTAAATGTAAGTACACATTGATGGCCTAAGACACGAAACGAGCGGTTTGTGTGAGAAAACGAACAGTATTTATATCGTTTTTACCTCTTGTAAACACAGCCACGTCCAAGTGATCATTCTGAGGTCGCGGGCGCTTCGGTCTTTTCAAGTGATCTCTCGCGCGTGTACGTCACTCATTGTTTACACAGAACAGAGATTGTAGGTAAGACGGCTAATTAAAATGGTACTAATTTGCGCTTATCTGGGATGTTTAAACCGTCGTAAAAGAAAACAATTAAAAAAAAACGTACACGCGTGAGAGATCACTTCCGGCGCTTGCCGGAAAAGACCGAAGCGCCGGCGCCCTTAGAACACTTGGACGTGGCTGTGTTTACAAGAGGTAAAAACGATATAAATACTGTTCGTTTTCTCACACAAACCGCTCGTTTCGTGTCTTAGGCCCAGAGGTGGGTAGAGTATCCAAAAACTGTACTCAAGTAAAAGTACAAGTACTTATAGAAATATTTACTCAAAGTAAAAGTAAAAGTAATAATCTTAAAAGTTACTTGAGTAAGAGTAAAAAAGTATCCAATGAAAAAACTACTCAAGTAGTTAGTTACTAGTTACTTTACACATAGGCATATATATATATATATATATATATATATATATATATATATATATACTGTATATGTAACATGATATTATTTAGATTTTTTTTTTCATTTAAATGACTATTATTATCATAATTAGATAAGCTATCTTTGCAACAAAAACAGAAGAGACAAACATTATTTCTGTATATCTATAGCCTGAAAACCATTGGCTGTCCTTTGGTTTGTATAATAGTATAGTAACTTATACAACTACATTTGGATTATTAGACAATGTCGGAATAAAGTGACTCTATGGAGTTTTGCATTCAAGGGATGGGAACCATTGACAGATTAGAAAGTGTTAAAACTCTGCACATGTGCTCGCAGTCATGCCCAACATAAACAACGATCAAATGCACGGATCTTCTTCTGTCTGTTCTCCAAAATGTATTTAAATGTAGGCTATATTTATGAAAGCATCTTTAAACTGGTTAACTGAGTCTAATAAGGCAGGCAAAGGCATTCGTTTTCAAGTCGAGTTCGCACGCCACTGCGCAATACCGACACTACAACACCGAGAATACATTGTGTGTGTACACACATTCATAAACTGGACGATGATAGCTTATTTAATGTATAAAGTAATGTATATGTCCAAAAAAAGGGTAATGCCATACTTTGTAGTAGTGCTATATGGCGTAATAATGTGTTTGGTTGTAAAATGTATTACCTGAATGAAATCGAATGTATCGTCGTGTGGAATAATTCATTCACAGACAGCTTACGAAGTATACGAAGATGTTCAAGTTCAACTAATAAAGATCTTCATCGCTGGCAAAAAATATGATGCATTTGCAGATTTACTTTCTAGACTGTACTGTAGACTATGGACCGCCACACAATGTTCTTGATGTTCTTAAATCTTCCTGTTACGACTCCGAGACGATTCAGTGCGTGCAGGAAACTGAACAGATCATTCAAACTGATTCGCGAACCGATTTAGACAGATCTGCCCAACTTGTTTGATGAAGTCTTTGAACAGAATCGACTCAAAAGAGTGATTCATTTGTGAATTGAGCATCGCTCATGCCCAGAAAAAAGAGAGAGCGCGCGCTTAGAATAAACTACGCTTTTAACAACATATTGCATTAAAATAAAGTAACGAGAGGAACGTCGCCAAACGTAACGAAGTAAAAGTACAGTTTTTTCATTAGAAATCTACTCGAGTTAAAGTAAAAGTACCCACAATTAAATATACTCTTAAAAGTACAAATTTTCCAAAAAAATACTCAAGTAAATGTAACGAAGTAAATGTACTTCGTTACTACCCACCTCTGCTTAGGCCATCAATGTGTACATTTACGAGTCATTAAATCATGTTTAATTTGGACTTCTCTGTGCATGCTCTTTGAGGTGGTGACCATAGACCTGCATTATATGACTGACAGACAAGAACGGTTTGACCTAAAAATATCAAAATTGAAACGACTGCGGAAACAAAGACACCTACATCTTGGATGCCCTTGAGGTAAGCTAAAACATATCAAAAATTAATTTCAAAGTGAACTATCCCTTTAAGTATGATAAACTGTTGTCAGTGTTCAGTATAAGGCTTCACAATAGGGGGCGTTTGCTCTCTTTATAACTGCAATGGAACTCATATTAGGCCTTATTTTCATTAGTGTTTTAGCAGCATCTCAGGTCAGGTTCGTTTCTCATCTGATTGGCACACTGTAAGCATTCTTGTACTGTCTCATGTCTCCCTGTGGCTGCGTTAAGTGTGCATTTTGTTTTCCGCTGGGATCTCTGCTCTGGGAAATGGCAGTGTAAGCACACGGCAGGATTCAGGTGTTGTCGAGTATGCAGAAGTAGCCGACTTCATCCAATAATCTTAGCTGAAACTCTATAACCACTCATTCAGTATGAAGTGCTTTCCCCCTCACACGGACTTTTCCTCCCACTTTTTTTGCATTTAATGTTCTCCTTCAGGAAAGGACCATGTTGTCTATCATGCAAGTTCTGGTAATGCCTGGACACTCAGTCTGTAATGTGTTCACATTGAGAACGCGGGTGCCACTACAGGAGCTGTAATCAATACACGCATTTAGCATAGGCCTCTGTGAATCCAGACCGTCTGTGGCATCTTACGCATGTCACATGATTGAGCGTAAATCAGATCAATCTCTCAATAGAGAGCCTAAGCCCCTCCCCTCTGCTTCCGGCTCATGGGACCTTATTTCGGAAAAAAATATGTATGGTAGTCAATGGCGAGAGACAACTTATCTTTTTATTCCGTCTGAACTGTGCCCTGAATTACACATATGATGTTTGTCAATTTAAAAGATAATTATGAAAGTCAAGAAAGTCGCAGTTTGTCATAAAACAGAAGAGTAACATTTAGTTTTATGTGAAAATCGCTCAATGAACAACATCTACCCCAAAGCATCTACCTCAATGGAAGCGAAACAACGAGCAACCCGGAAGTTCGCATCGCCCCGATTCCCTCGACAAAAACCCAATGGGCTATAATAATAATAATAATAATTCATCACATTTATATAGCGCTTTTCTGGACACTCAAAGCGCTTCACATAGAAGGGGGGAATCTCCTCAACCACCACCAATGTGCAGCATCCACCTGGATGATGCGACGGCAGCCATATTGCGCCAGAACGCCCACCACACACCAGCTTACTGGTGGAGAGGAGACAGAGTGATGAAGCCAATTGGTATATATATATGGGGATGATTAGGAGGCCATGATGGACAGAGGCCACTGGGCAAATTTGGCCAGGATGCCGGGGTTACACCCCTACTCTTTCGAAAGACATCCTGGGATTTTTTGTGACCACAGAGAGTCAGGACCTCGGTTTAACGTCTCATCCGAAGGACGGTGCTCAATTTACAGTATAGTGTCCCCGTCACTACACTGGGGCGTTATGACCCACACAGACCACAGGGTGAGCGCCCCCTGCTGGCCTCACTAACACCTCTTCCAGCAGCAACCTGGTTTTCTCAGAAGGTCTCCCATCCAGGTACTAACCAGGCTCAGCCCTGCTTAGCTTCAGTGGGCAACCAGTCTTGGGCTACAGAGTGATATGGCTGCTGGCGTCTATATGCACGCATAACTTCCGCATTTAATGCAAGGATGCTCTTGCGTTTCCGGTTGGGGAGATTTAAAGCGGAGGAAAACCGAGGAAAACGGGATTATGGCAGAGTCTTCAAAATGTACTGTCCTCTCGTCTTTGAAACGAAACTTTAATACGTTTAGATGTAATTGTATATATAGTTATGTTTATTTAATATAATAAACAAAGAAGCATAAACAAAATGAGGGGTGTCTGTTTTGTCTGTTTTTGTGACTAACGTTTCTTTAGTATAGCAATAGAGTATAAAAACCAATATAAATTCTCGGTATAGCATTGGACTCTACGATCGGCGGAAGTAATCCAGCATCCTTAGACCTTCACCGGAAATACCGCCGTGCATAGAGCCCATAGGATGTTCCCATTGCAGAAAATAAGGTCTAAGGCTAACAAAAATGTATTATTCTTACACGTTTTATTCAAGGTAATCTTCACGACTTTTATGATTTTTGAACCCTCGTCAGAAGTCAAAAGCTAGACGTAGGAATTACACCACGGTCACGTGACTTCAACATCACCATCACTAAGCATCGGACAACTTTCAGTCCTTGTGTAAAAACATTTTCCCTGAAAGTTTGAGTTTGAAAAGTTTGCAAGAGCGTGATTATAGACACAGCGAGGCTGTGAAAGTGGACTAGTGAGTAGATGTGATGATGTTTAATGTCCCTCTGTAGTCTAGTCACATTTAGGGCTAGATTTACTAAGCAGGGCAAATTAGCGTCAAATTAGCGTTCCATAAACGCACCAATGGAAGTGGAAATTCTGCACGTGATCTACTGACATGCAAATTAAAGAACACAGATCCAGCTGAATCATTTCCATAATGACCAACACAATCTTAAGAGCAGCGCAAATAAGCGTAGGGTCTGAAACAAGCAGAGCTGCTGATGATCAGTTCAGGTCGGTGATCTACTAACAACATGCTTTTTATTTGGGCGTTAAATAATGACTAGCGCAAACCTTCAAACCTTGCGTAAATCAATTAAATATTCTCCTCTCATAAATTTTGCATCTGATAGGGAAACTCCAACAAATGCATATGCAATAAGTTCAGCCGCAAAAAATGTTCTCTGCGTGTCTTTAGTAAATCCTGACAGTATTTTTTAACACCAAAAGAGGGTTTTTTCTGGCGCAAGCGGTTAGTAAATCTGGCCCTTGGTCACTTGTTAGCAACCTCATTTTCAAGACAAGTAAAAGCTTTTGAAAAATCACAAGACGCTATTACTGTTGTAGGCTACCGGTATTTTATGTCGTAGAATAAAACGTGAAAAGATCTTGATCTTGTGTTCACCCTGCACAGACCCCATTTCAGGTATTTAAACAAAACCCCATTATAAAAACTCCAGTTTTGACCTACAAAAATATGCCCTCCCTGCACTACTCTATTGTATACAGCAAAGCAATTTTAATGTTTTATGAATTAGATGTAAATTGACTGTCTAGTACTTTAATCTTTAATGCCAGGTAGTTTATACTTTTATTTATAGATTACTGGCAGAGCATCAGTCATCAGTTATTATTTAAATTGATATATTTATTGCCATATTCAAAGTACAAGGCAGGCATTATTAAGAGGATTGATTCTGAAAATGATTTGATGTGGTTTCGCTTGCAGGAGTTTGTGATGATCGTGGTTTTTGGGCTGGAGTATTTCGTGAGGGTGTGGGCCGCCGGATGCTGCTGCCGGTACAGAGGATGGCAGGGCCGGCTACGGTTCGCCAGAAAACCCTTCTGTGTCATAGGTAAAGTGTAAAGACCTGGAGTCTGAGATCAGACACATCATGAGGGACACAAAGCTGTTTGTGTGAAGATCTGTGGCAGAAAACGCCATTCACATCGTCAATCAGTTCCAGTTTCTCCTTATCATCTGCCCGCCCTCGTGTTACTCGAAACTCATATGACTTTTTTTTTTAACGTGTAACACAAAAATAATTATTATTGAAATGTCAAAGCTGTACACTAGATTTTTAATGTTTTGATAGAAGTCTCGTATGCTCACCAAGACTGCATTTATTTGATTAAAAATACAGTAAAAACTGTAATATTGTGAAATATTATTACAATTTAAAATAACTGGTTTCTATTGTAATATATTGTAAAATATAATTTATTCCTGTGATCAAAGCTGGATTTTCAGTATCATTACTCCAGTCTTCTTCAGTGTCACATGATCCTTAAGAAATCATTCTAATATGCTGATTTGCTGCTAAAGAAACATTTCTGATTATTATTATCAATGTTGAAAACAGTTGTGCTGCTTAATATTTTTGTGGAAACCATAATTAGATTCTTTGATCGTTAGAATGTTCGAAAGAACATTCATTTAATTGAAATGCAAATCTTTTGTAACATTTTTAATGTCTTTATATTGATCAATTTAATGCATCTTTGCTGAATTATTAATTTATTTCAATAAAAAAAATACATTACTGACCCTAAACTTTTGAACGGTAGTGTACATGGATATCAATGTACGATTAATTGAGATTTCAATCCACTGGGCAGTAAACTATAGATGTCTTACAAAAAAGAAAAGAAAACACATTTTTAAAATGTGCCCCCTCAAAAAATGAAGGTATGTCCCACCCATGGTGAAATGAATGCATTTACAAAGATTGTTTCTCTTTTCTGTTCTTGTCATCATGTCTCATTATGTAGACTTCATCGTGTTCGTGGCGTCGCTGGCAGTGATAGCAGCAGGCACACAGGGAAACATCTTCGCCACATCTGCTCTGCGCAGCATGCGTTTTCTGCAGATCTTGCGTATGGTGCGCATGGACCGCCGGGGAGGAACCTGGAAGCTGCTGGGCTCTGTGGTGTACGCTCACAGCAAGGTGACAACACACACACACTCATCCATCAGAGGACGTTCGCTTCAGTGTCACTGGACATGTTTGGATGAAAACCTATGAAACATACACAATGCAAACTTTTGTTTTGTTTTGTGCGTATCCACACCTTAAATCTAAAGAACTGCATAATTAACTATTCTTTTCAAATATGCTTCCAAACTCTATCCCCATCTGCCATTGGTCGAGCAAACAAATAGCCCCGCCCCAAACTCACGCTGTTAAGTCAGCATAAAACGGAAGTTGTGATAGTATTTTCTTCCCTATTGTGATGTATATCCGAGTGAAGCGGCTTCTCGAATGAGAAAAAAAATGTAGGGCGGGATTTGATTTTGCCCATGGGGAGTTGATTGGATTGTTGTGGTTGCTATTGGTGGATCTCATGTGAGTGACAGGTTGCCCCGCCCTCGTGCCAGTAAACGCATCATCAGAGAAGAGAAGAGATGTCGCTGCAAGAGGGAGGGGAAGATATTTGGTTTAAAGATTTCCAGAGCTCATGATATATAAAAGATGATGTGCACGGATAAATAATTTTTAAAAAATACTGCAATTTTCCATTCCATTGCTCACATTTTGTTCTTGTGTTTCAGGAGCTGATCACAGCCTGGTACATTGGCTTCCTGGTACTGATCTTTGCCTCCTTCTTGGTCTATTTGGCTGAGAAGGAAGATAACCAAGAGTTTTCAACTTATGCTGACTCCCTCTGGTGGGGAACAGTGAGTACTGCCCTCGGCTCACCTAACAACCTGTGTGATAACGCTGTCAGTTCCCGGGATCAGAATATTTTTTTGTGGGAATTGATGTTGCAGCAATTTTGTTTCATTTCTACTGGGATTATAATTCTGCCTCTAATAGACTGATTGTTGAATAATATCCTGAATCCGCAGAGTTAGACTCAGTAAGGTCGATATCAGAAGTGTCATGTCCAAGGGGTCTCAAACCAGGTTATTATTTGATATATATAATTTGAATACAATTATAATGTGTGTAATTAAAGAGGACTTTTTCTTTTTAGTTTTATATTTACCAGCGTTAATGTTCTCAGTCTACTGTTATTGCTATCTAGTAGCATTTTTATGTTTAGTTCGGGTGGGTTGTAAAGGTTACAATCTACTATGTATAAAAAGCGAAAACTAAAATTAATTTGTAAATTATGTTGTATTTTAGTTAGTTTGGAGTCATGTATTTTTTGTTTCTGTTTTTCCTTTTTTAGTTTTTCATTTTGTTTTATTTCAGTTGATGAAAATATTTTCATATAGTTTTGTTTTAATTTTTTGGGAAATTCCCACTGCCACTGGAATTCCCACTTTTTCTGTTGTTGTTTCTCCTGACCTTTCAATGCATTTCACTGGCCAAACCATAGACTTCAGTCGGGTTAGACGCCATATTGAAGTTAACCCGGATGAAAATGAGGCTGTGAGGGATGGACGTGCAGTCATTGCAATGGCACACACTAAAGGTCCTACATCACATCATTTTCACAACCACAACTTTTTATGGTGTTTTTGTCAACTGAAAGTTTATTTTTTCCAGAAAGACTGAACAATCCATTGAGCGCTTTGTACTTCTATCCCTCACAGACTGGTTTTCATTCCTGTCAAAAATGAAATAGGCACTACCCTGTCCCTGACTATAAGGTCTATGAACATGTTTTTTTGATATGGAAGGTTTTGAATTTAGCTGCTGCATGACTCCCCTGCCCATTTAGTTATTCTTACCTCCACTGTTTCCCCCCAGATCACCCTCACTACGATCGGCTACGGTGACAAGACGCCGCGCACCTGGCAAGGTCGGCTTTTAGCGGCTTGCTTTGCCCTGCTGGGAGTGTCCTTCTTTGCCCTGCCCGCTGTAAGTAATGCTGTCGATTTTAAGGCCGTTGACATTTCTTTTTCCACCGATCCCAGCTAATGGCCCTCTGTCCTTTCTCTAAGGGCATCCTGGGTTCGGGTTTTGCTCTGAAAGTGCAGGAGCAGCACCGGCAGAAACACTTCGAGAAGAGAAGGACTCCCGCTGCCAACCTCATACAGGTGAGCGCTCCGTCAGCAACACACCTGCCGCAAATACAGCCACGATTTCTATTTCCACGTCCAAATATGTGTGTGTGTTGTGTGCATGTACGTCTGGGTGGGTCATCTTGTGCCGTGCTGTGTCGTGTTGTCTCCCCAGGCTGCATGGCGGCTCTACTCTACAGATGCTCAGCACTCATATCTCACAGCCACCTGGTATTTCTATGACAGTATGCTGCCGTCCTTCAGGTAAGTATGTAACCAAGCCCTCGGTGGAGATGCTTTTCTGTGCTGTGCGCGTTCAACTGGCCTTGTGTGTAACTGATATGACTGACAGGTGGCTTTGCCTTTTTGAGGTCATGATTTCAAAAAGAAGGGGTTCAAAATATCCCAAATACTTCAGCATCAATCAGACCGATTTATCAATTTTATTTTATTATCCTCCATGCACAGAAACACGAAATTTATTTCTCTTTAATTAAAAATGGTACTTTGACCCAGAAATCATGATTTAATTGATAGTTTTGCCGTTCCTTTTGTTTTTGTTTTATTCATCTGCAACATTAATTTTTGCATGTACTGAAAGCAAAGATTATGAGTTTTCATGAGTTACATAAGATTTAAGTTTAGTTCCAGTTAATGTGGGATGAAAAATGTGGAGAAATAGAAATTGTAACCAGATTTTTTTAATACCACTTATTTATTATTAAAAAACCCTAATGTGATTATTGTTTTAAGTTAGATAACTTATTTAAAAATGAATAAAATAATAAATTCATAAACCAAGAATTAAGTTAAACTTATAACTTATACAGTCTGCTTCTTAAGCAAATTTAATCTTTGAAGGATTTTTATTTTCTACATATTTGTAGATAAAACACTAATTAAAAACTCAAGAAGTAATTTAAAAGCTCCTATAAATATTCTTGAAACCAACAAATTTCACAAATTTTGATGGTTCAATAATTGGTTGACTGTTTAATTCAAAATATGATTTAATTCCTTTTATGAAGTATCTCAGTGTTTCTATATAGTATATTATGCCACATTTTTTATTCTTAATTATATATTTCTATTTTTACCTTTAATATTATTTATCCCACATGCATTCATCTTTGGGTGAATTAATTTGACTAATTATAATTCATTTAAAATGACAGGGAAGTGTGTATTTCAGTACACAAATATCATATTTAAACAGTAGACGTTTTATAAACGGAATGATCCCTGTCTTTTTAAAGTATTTTGATGCTTAATTTACCATTTTGTTTTTAGCTTTGTGTTGGTTTGTTTGGCTTCTTTTTCCTTTTTTGTTTTGTTTCATTTATCATGTTTGATTATTTTCATTTTTTGCTTGTGGGTCAGAGAACTGACATTACTGTTCAGTCACCTCCAACGGCAGCGTAGCACCAAGAAGGTTCTCCACAACTCCTACCACACCCTGCTGTCGGGGCTCCGGCCGTACAGCTCCCCCTACCTGTCGGGGGACAGGTACGCCACTGTCCAGTTTAATCTTCCTAGAGGACACTAACTCTTCCCTGCAATTTCAGTAATACAGTTCAATTCACATACTAGCATACTGTAGTGTAGTAAAGTTTCAGGTCATTACTTAAAGTGCCCCTATTATGCTATTTTAAAAGCTCTTAATTTAGTTTTAGAGGTCTCCTACAATAGGTTTACATGCATCCAAGGTCAAAAAACACTTTAATTTTCTCATAATATACATTGCAGCGTCAGCTCTTTTCTCACAGTGTCCGAAACGTTTCGATAAAGGATTCATGCTCTCTAAACTTCTCCTTTCCGAGAGCCTGCTCTGCTCTGATTGGTCAGATGGCCCAATCTGTTGTGATTGGTCGACTGCTTACAGTGTGTGTCGCAGATGAAAGGAGATGAATTTCAGCTCTTCTTCAACACTTGATACACAGTAATACGAACTAGTGGTTCAATTGTTCTCAAAACTCACGGATCATATTACTGTTTTTGAGTCAGGGATCGGATCATTTTCTGATTCAGCAAGAAAACAAAATGGTGGGGGGTAACTTTGCTTTGCATTGATTACTTAAAGCACACTTTAGTTCAAAAACTACTAGTCTAAGTGAGCAGTCAGTAAAAAACAAGACCAAATACCCAAATCACAAGCATAGATAAATACAATATAAGAAAGTTACGAATAAAGTAAGGTCTAACTGTAGTATTCATTTCAGGTACAGAAATGTAATAATAAAATGTAAAATAACACCATGTTCACTGTATAAATTTAATATAGATTCATCTTTGTTAAAGCTACGTTTTGTAGTTTGATTAACATTGATTACATACTGCATACATTATTTAAAGGCTGCTGTCACTTTAAGACAGAATACATGGATCCATTATAATGATGCACATCTTTCTCTTGTTCTCTTTCTCTTGAGATAGAACCGACTGTGTTTACGAGAATACTTGCCGAGACTGGTATTTTGACCTAATTTTGTGTGTATGTGTCCATCCAAGTGCAAGGAGACGTGAAAGAGGAATCAAGGAATGTAGGCCCTGTTTACACGAGAACGCTTGCGGGTGAAAGCGTAAAAATATTTTAGCAGATGTGCCTTTCGTTTACACGGCGGCGGCGTTTTGGGGGCTTAAAAACGCAAAAAAGTGAAACGACCCTCCAGAGTGGAAATCTTAAAACGCTCCACCGTCGCGTTCCCGTCTAAAGGGTAAAAACACAAAAGTCTGCTAGACAGTGAAGGCACAGATCTGCTTCACATTGCCACCTAGCCGCCTGGAGTGCATACTACATCGAATTTCACTCACTTTTGCGTCACCATATGCACGCAGATTTCCCACCCATAACGCTTGTCTAAACCAAGGGGGTAATCCATCGACCGGAAGTTGAAGCTGGCCGGGTGCCGCCATCTTGTAGCAGAACTTCACTTGCGTTAGCATTTCCATTGACTCCCATTCATTTTGGCGTCACTTTGACAGCGAATAACTTTACATCTGAGGCGTTTAAAGACTCCATTTGTCCATTATTTATTTCTAAAGAAACACGACAATGTATAAAGGGCTCCATTACCTTCTATGTTACATTATGGCCCCGTAGAAACAGATTTAGTAAAAATAGGCTAACGATTGCGTCATAACCACTCGACTCTCTGTCGCGCTGTACAGAAATTACCGTACAGACAGGAGGAGAAGCTCGCAGGCAATCGGGGGGACGTCCCGTCAAGGGAGAAGCCCATAGATAATGAGTCCATAAAAGCAACGGAATACTTACTCCTGCTCACTCACGCCAAAGCACTCTTTGCTCAAGTTCCCCGTCTCTGCAAGATTAACGTTGGCAATTTTCACGCACAGCTACTAGAGAATTCTCGTCTGTCAGACAGGTTGCTCACGTCATCAAGCTTAGTTTGAGTCGGTTTGAGTCTGCGCGTCAGGAACGGAAGTGCTCAAAATTCGCTAAAAATGGGCTTCAACTGTCTCAACTGAGTTCCAATGAGATGGCTCTGTCCATTTCTTATAATGTCTATGGTCTAAACGCAGAATAAAAAGTGATTACGCAACGCCACTTTTGCGTTTTCTCTTCAGATTGTTTCCGTGTAAACATAGCCTAAAATGTATTTGTTTTCGCTGAAAACCACGCCGACAACACGAAGCAAACACTTCCAGTCTCAGCTACATCTACAGTGTTTGAGGGCGCGTCAAAGTAGGAGTTGTTGACAGGCAGCCAATGAAGACCATTATGCAAATGTGTTACAAACCTACGTACGATCATGCTAGAAGTAAGACTGGAATTACTGATGACTCTTTCCAGGCATCAGGGAGACAAAAATTCACCTTTTACATTGACAAATAGCAATCACACACTACATGAAAGGTAATATCCAAAAGAAAGCATAATAGGGGCACCTTAAATCATTATGTAAAGTGTTCACAGGAAGTTCAGCACCTGACGCTCCAATAAGCTGCAGTTAAATCAGTTGCTGAAGTTTTACTTGTTTGTGTTTTTGCGTGCCTTTCTGTCTGCTTGTGTCTTGTTTTTTGTGCTGATACTAATACTACACATCTATACTAGGGCATTGAAAGATGTATCAGATATGTGATGTTCTACTCTTTAATTTGTGGGAGATAAGTTGGAATTTTGAGATAGAATAAAATCTCCTTAACTGATCTCGTATCTGATGCCGTTCAATGGCCTTTGTGTGTGTTAATGTCTGCGCACGTTTGTGTGCGAGCATTATCTCTTTACCCTTTGACATTGCAGTGTGTCTCACACCCCATCTTCATAGCCCTTCATTCAACTTCTCCATTCTCCTCCTCTCCTCCTCATCTCTCTGCCATCACTCCATCCATTCACGTTTTCAGGAGGACTGACGTGTCATGCAGGTTTGTGATAGGCTTTTGAGACGACTATTTCGCCCAATGGGAAGTGTCATTGGCCATGCTGTGTTTACAGTTTGAGGTGCTTTTTGTTTCGAGTGACGATGTTAAAATGAACGTGATGATGGTTGGCTGCATTCAGATGCATTGACCTCTAGTGGCCAGTATCTGCATGCCACCCTGTCCCTGCCTGCCTCACTCAACTTCCTCTAAATGACCTTTCACCCCTATACGTTGCACATGTTGTATCCCTTAAAATTGATCCTGGGGCAGTTTTTCATTTCAGTGCAAAAAAAAAAAAAAAAAAAAAAGACCAGAGATGTTCTGAAAGGCTGATCCTGATTGTGTGTGTGAGCTCATCAACCCTTTCTCCAAAAGCACTTATTTCTCCACTTATTAGTAAGTTACACTTTGTTTTGAAGTGCACGTTATTGCCCAAAGGGAATATCGAGCCTGATGTCGCTCTAAACCTGTATTATTTTCATTCATCTGTGGAACACAGAAAGAGATATTTAGCAGTATTAACAATTAAAGTAAGCTGGAGCTGTTAAGAATGACCAAAAAATTACAAAAAAAGGGCATTATAACTGGTTCATACAACTTGTGTGCTGGAGCCATACGATAGATTTGTTTTATAGACTGAAATGTATGTCATTATGAGAACGGCGGAGGGATTTTAAGGTGCGTTCACGCCATGTCGGAATTGCCATAATTATGAGATTCCGACTTGTAAAAAGCATTCATGTCTTCATAGAACTCGTAAATATAACTTTTTAACTTAAAATTTTCTGAGAGCTCTGACTTGTACCACCTGACCACTGCAAATTCATTTAGCTATTTTTGTTGTCATCTCGTGATTACGGTAAATTACTTGAATGCAGTGGAAGCAAATAGCAGCTTAAATTTTGGCTTCTTCCTCACACAAAGCTATATACAGTATTTTAGCTTGAAATATATCACAGATGTCTGCATGGACTGCATTTTTTTACTACTTAATTTTTAGAGCTTGATCGTCCCCAGTCCCCGTTGACTTTCATTGTATGGAAAAAAGCATCAAAACATCTCCTTTTGTGTCCCACAGAAGAAAGAAAGTCATACTAGGTTTGAATACATGAGGATCAAACTTGCATTTTTGGATGAACTATTCCTACTTGCATTTAAGTTATTACATTAAAGGTACACTAAGTAACTTTTTTTTGTTTAAAATTTATAACATTTACATAATGAGCGAGTACATCATGAATCCATCTTACAAACCGTGTTTTTGTCTTATCCTGAATCACTACGTCTATACTAAGTGGGTAACACTTCAGTTTAGGGTCCAGTTCTTTCTATTAACTAGTTGCTTATTAGCATGCATGTCACTAGGGTATTGGTTGTTTATTAGTACCTCTAAAGCACATATTACTGCCTTTTCCTACTTGACCATATTCTACATCCCTTAATCCTTCCCAATACCTAAACTGAACAACTACCTTACTAACTAGTAAGCAATAATTAGGAGTTTATTGAGGCAAAAGACGTAGTTAATAGTGAGAATTGGACCCTAATCTAAAGTGTGACCAATAAGGGTTTATATTCAGACTATTTTAGACCGAGTCGCCCACCAAAGTGGAGAATCCACTTGTCATTGAGATAAACAGAGAGAAGTAGCTCTCAATAACCACTGAAGCGCCAAAAGTTACATAGTTTACCTTTAAGTTACACAAACTGAGTTGGATCCAAATCGACTTACAAGAACGAGATCCATGTGAATTGCGTCTGATAAATTTTAATGTTTGCCCGAAAATGCACACTAAAAACAAGTGTAACACGTGTGTCCTGGCACAGCCGACTAACCCTCACAACCCCTCACGAATCCCTCCCTCTCCCTTGTGTGTCTCTTCAGTCAGCTCGTATCTAAAAAGAGGGGTTTCTTCCGGATTCATACTGGCAGTAAGCAGAGGTATCCATGTGTGATGTGCCTGTGCACACTGGGCTCGATCCGTCCCGTCCCTGATGCCTGAAACTCTCTGAGCCTTACTGATCCAGTGCAGCTCCACCCATTCAGTGAGACTCGTAGATGCATTCACCATGACTGGATTCAGTATATTCCTAACGTGAAGGCTGCACTAGCTCAATAATCTCACTGATCCACTGCCCTTATCTGTGAGAGGCTGATCAGAGAACAGAGGACTGAATGCACACAGATGAGGCCTGCATGTGCTCACAGGGCAAAGATAAACCATGCGGTCGGGTGTTACTGAAACCTCAATTGCTTCTCATCATGGTTTATTCTGATATGCATGTCAGTTATACTTTACGGTTGTTCTTGAGAGGCTAAATAACTTATGGCATGTTGTAACATTTGAATGCAGGGATATCAAGGTCAGACCTTTTGTAGGGGAGGTATGCATGTACGAGTCGTGTTTAGACAGATCTGCAGATCCTTTAATGTGTTTAAGCATGTGTTAGCATGCTAAACGTAATCGGATGTAGATTGAGTTACAAAATGATGCTCTTTGATAAAGTGTGCATGAGGTTTGTGACCTCTATGTGCATGATTGAAACAGTATTTCAATGATGACTGTAGAAAATCTTACTTTGTGGCATGTTGTAATCAATTATTTGAAATGTCATCATTTTAAATAAAGTTAAGTGGATTTTGTTTGATTACACGTAATGTTTCGGCTACATTCTTTAGCATGCTTGTGCGTGGTACCATGGATTCAAAGAGTGCTCTTGCATTTCTCCAGTTGCTCCTTTTGATTGCACGATTTATACACTGTCACGCCCCATTCAGCTCAAGAACTTGCGCTCAATATGCTTTCTTAACTATTTAAATATAAACCCAAATGTCTATGAAATGATGTGATGCTCACACAGGGCAGCATATGTCTTTGACTAACCATTTTCCTTTGTTGTGTCAGCGTTATCATGTAAATTAAACTCACCACCTGTAGATAGACCGATGTGTGTTTCCTAACCCTTCTGTCTGTTTGTCTATGTTGATATGTCCTCTTACATAAGCAAACTGAAAAAAAGTTTCACATTATGGAACATGTAGGAAAAAGTCTTATACAGAAAATCAAGGCAGTGCTAATGAGAAGATTGATTAATTTCCTTGTTTGTCACCAACTCAGATCATTCCTCTAATTCTCTCGCCAGTGGGAAGATGGGCTTCCGTGACCGCATTAGGATGAACAATTCCCGCTCCTCTCAGGCTATCCGGAGCAAGGCTTCTCCTTTGCCCCCAGGTAATGTACGGCGCTCGCCCAGCACGGAGAACGTTCCTGAAGCCACCAGCCCCGGCAAGGTCCAGAAAAGCTGGAGCTTCAATGATCGGACTCGATTCCGTACCTCTCTCCGCCTAAAACCACGGCCCGCTGCAGATGGTAGATACCTCTGTCGACATGTTCACCTTCATGCAGACACATGCAGTACATAAACTACTGTTCAAAAGTTTGGGGTCGATACGATTTTTTTATTTTTCAAAAAAAAGTCTCACCAAGGCTTTTCAGTTCACAGACTGCCATGCAACGTTTCCACAGTTATCAGCATCGCAAGTCTAGTAAAGCTTTTCATATTTTCAATTTCAAAAGAATTTATATACACTGCCCAGCCAAAAAGAAAAAGTCGCTGTTTGGATTTATATAAGCAAATGCTTAAGAGTCTATGGGTCTCATTCATGAAACATTCGTAAATATACGAGTAAATATGCGAGTGATTTGCGCGTAAAGAGACCTTCCTGAAAACTCATCTCCTGATTCACAAATACTTGTGATAGTGATAGTGAAATGTGTGTGTGTGTGTTAATGAATTCCAATCAGTCGTAAATGGGATGCGCGTGCACGTTCATTCGCAATTACCATAAATCCCGCCCATTAAATCCGACAATGGGCATCATATGACATGAATGCGAATGAAAAAAAAAATTCTCCGATGCAGAAATTGAAGTTTTATTATCAGAAGTTCATTCAAAACGCCACATTTTATTTTCAAGCGTACATAGTGGCGTATCGGGTCCTAAAAAAAAAGGAAGCTTGGCAGCATATTACAGATGCAGTTAATGGAGTTTCATCTGTTAATCGAACATTCCCAGAAGTGAGAAGAAAATGGTTCCACATCAGCTTGAGAGCAAAAAACGAATTAGTTCACTTCGGAAAAATAGTATTCAAACTGGAGAAGGACCACCATCGCAGATGCTATTACTGGCTCTCATAATAAGAAAAACCGTATGTAATTACTATGTATAATATTTTTTCAAAATGCTGTGCAAATATGTACCCGATTAAGGTGAATTAAAATGCAGCCTTATTAATGAGCAAAACGTTCGGGTGTTAAGCGCACTATTTACGCGTGGCTGGGAGCAGGTGTGGATTTCTTGTGTACCAACTAACATTTGGAAAATATGAACATTTTAATGAATCCGAAAATTTACGCCAGAACCACTTTACACACAATTTACACACAAATTCGTTCTGCTCGTGTTTCATTAATGAGACCCTATGATTGGATCCTTATTGCAGTGATTATTATGTTTCTATCATGTTATATGTTTGGCAACAGTTCTTCTAACCCTAGTTGATGGACAAGTGTGTAGCTTTTCATTTCTTGAACAACCATGTAGGAAGACCATGAAAAGAATGGTTGGGAGGAGCATGAAGAATCATTTACACACATGAAGTGGCTCCTCTGAGTATTCATTGAAAGTGTTTGGGATGTGCTGGAGGAGACTTTAAAGAGTGCTGGACTCTTACATTGTCAATACAAGATCTTGACCAAAAGTTCTTGATCGAAATGACATCACAACATTTATTTCCATCTACAGGTGCATACATTTTTGGTCAATATGGCCATGATGTGTCTTCCTACATGGTTGTTTAAGAAATGAAAAGCTACACACTCCAAAGCACTTAGAGCAAATGGAAATCTAAACAATATATGTACTTTCGTCTCCCATTCACCACTGTAACTATGATGACTTCCACTTCTGAGAGCCCCGGAAATGTGAAAAGTGTCCATTTGACCAAAAATACAGTACAACGTTTGGAATATTTTTACAATTTAAAATAATTTTTCTATTTTCATATTATAAAGTGTAATTTATTCCTGTGATATAAAGCTGAATTTTCAGCATCATTACTCCAGTCTTCAGTGTCTCGTGATCCTTCAGAAATCACACTAATATGATGATTCGCTGCAGAAGAAACATTTCTGATTATAAATGTTGAAAACAGTCGTGCTGGAAACGGTGATACTTTTTTCAAGATTCTTTAATAAATATAATGTCCAAAACAACAGATTTTATTTGAAAATGCTGCACTTCAATGACACTTTTGATCAATCTAATGCATCCGTTCTGAATAAAAGATATAATTTATAAAAAACTTTGCCCCCAAACCATTGAACGGTAGTGTACGTTTTCCTCCTCTCATTACGGATTGATCTCTCATAGTGGAGGGAGTAGGAGAAGAGCACACAGAGGACAAATCTTACTGTGACGTTGCCATGGAGGATGTGATTCCAGCAGTGAAGACCCTAATTCGAGCCGTTAGGTGAGTCCACCACCACCACACAGCTCTACAGACTCCTATAGTTCACTTAAAGACCAAGTACTCTCAGATAATGTCACCATGCCGTTCAGTTTAAATGAACGGTTGGTCTTTTGCAAAAGGGACCTCAGTATAGAATCTGCTCCGTCAGCCGTGACCTTTTCACTGTGCAATTACATCAGTTGAGCGTTATGGAGACAAAGCGGGGTTAGACTCAAAGAGGGCATGGCAACCTTCAGTTGTGGTTCTTACTTCTTGCTTAAACAAGCAGAAAGTAATACAAGATGTTCTAAAAATATGATCAAGTTCTTACTGAGAAGCGAGTGGCCTCTCTCTGATTGGTCAGTGCTGCAAGAGCAAACTTGTTCAGTCAGTAACGGATGTGCATTGGGTGATTCTTCAAATAAGGGACATTGTTGTTCACTAGGAAGATTTTAAATAAAAATAGCTGAAAAATAAACGATAATTCTGGTTTGAAAAGTTAGATTAATAGCTGGTCTTTTTTTTTTTTTTTTTTTTTTTAAGAGTATTACTATTATTATATATAAAGTATGTTATATTTGCCTATTAAAATATCTTTTAGAATTGTTTAAAGTCTACATGAAATGAAGTCTACATTTTCTCCCCTATCGTGAGCTTGATTGGATGGTTTGTAAATTCCTGTGATGTCATGTGAGTGACAGGTTGCTGGAGAGGAGGGGTTATTGTCCCGCCCTCACACCAGTGCAAAAATCACATGAATTAAAAAAAATAATGATGTGCATGGATAAATCATTTATAATAAACACTACAATATTACATTAAAAAAAAAGGAATTTTCCATTTTTTTTTTATTTATTTTTTTTTACTTTATTTTTAAAGATTTTACATTTTTACATTTGAACGAAAAACAAAATGAACTTAAAATAACAAACAGATAGACCAAAAGAAGTAATTATTCTCTATAATAAGAAGCCAATACAGTGAATCATGTTAGGAATTTTCCATTTTGATTTCATAATGGCAAATTCCCTTCTGTAATGCATTTTAAATGAGAGAATTTCTATTGTGCACTCTTGCCTAATATTATCATTATTATTAATAATATTTTCATATTTTCACGTACAATTTGTCCTGCAGATTCCTGTAGCTAAGATAGTACGGCATGGCACTAGACACAGCAATCGCATTGAATGCAATGTAAGTCACTTGAATAAAAACACATAATTGCACATGCATAAAAAAGTACAAATGGCATTACATGTCATCCGCGTCACAAACATAGTCACACATTAAAGGCTGATTGAGGTCATGATCAGGACATGAGATAAATGTTTTAACATAATACAAACACAACTTGAAGAGGTTTCATTTCTTAGGATTTCAGAGAAAAAGTGCATCTATTTGAAGAATCACCCATATGTGCATGAAAAATGTCATGCCCCTTGCACATATTGCACCTGTGAATGTCACCCATACTGAGAACACTCTTATCTCCAAGCCGTTCCTCCTGACCAGTACACACCGGGTGATTAGGTCACATTGGCCCAACAGATTCTCAAGGCAGAGCTCCAGGTGTGTACATGTTCACAGCTGCATCCTTTCCTGTTATCTGGGCGAGAAGTTTCTGCCTTTTACATTAGAGCCCTCTATAAGATTGATGTCCTAAAGGAACAGGCAAATTTTAGCTTCACCACAACGCTGAGGTTTCACTTTTGTGGAAGACCTACAGTTTATCACTGCTGTGTAGTGTGTGCTATTCAGGCTGAGGACAGAGCAATCTGCGATGCTCTAAAATACAGATTTCGCTCAAATAAACCTTGAATTACAAATAATATCAAATTTTAAATTGTTTTATTTTATTTTATATTCTATTTATTTTCTCCTGGTTTTGGGAGATCACACCTGGCAAAGCTTTTAAAGGGATACTACACCCAAAAATGAAAATTCTGTCATCATTTACTCACCCTCAAGTTGTTGCAAACCTGTATGAGTTTCTTTCTTCTGTTGAACACAAAGGAAGATATTTTGAAGAACGATTGGAACCAAACAGTTGTTTGGCACCATTGACTTCCATAGTATTTTTTTTTCTACTAAGTCAATGGTGCCAAACAACTGTTTGGTTCCAATCGTTCTTCAAAATATCTTCATTATAAATCAAATATCAAACTTGAGGGTGAGTAAATGATGACAGAATTTTCATTTTTGGGTGTAGTATCCCTTTAAAGGACTGCCCTGAATCTGCTTGATCACTAAAAAGATTTTAAAACCAGATTTCCCTTATGTAAACTTGCACGGTTCAAAATGTAATATTAAATATATATTTTTTTTATTATTTTTTTTTTTTTTTTATCCTGGTTAATGAGAGCACACCTTGCAAAATGTTTTGGGGGACTGCCCTGAACTAGGTCAGCTTGATCACTAAAAAGATATTCAATTCTCAAAACAATTAATTTGAAGATTTCTGCATGTTTGGATGTTCTTTCGCATTAATCCCTGCCTCGGATAGTGAAGGCGGATATTTGTTCACGCAGCTATTCTTAGAGATCCCATCTCAAATGCATCTGTGGACCGGGGTATTCTAAAGCTGACCATATAATGATACAGCCATACAGTGCATTGCCATCAAGTGAGCGAGTCAGCGTTTTAAGGAAACCCTTGGAGGACGGAAATAAATGGGATTTCTTTTTTTTCCCTTTCCCTCTCTCCTTCTCTTTTTCCTTACCCCCTCTTTTATCCACACCTGAGACCCACCCTGACAAAATATGCAGCTACCTGCAAAATTTAAAGACGGGGAGGGAAAATATATACAGACAGCAAAAAGCCCAAACTCTGGAGTCATCAAGAAACATGTTTGTTCTGTGTGGGAGGATTGGACCAGCTGTGGACTTCTCCTTCTGAAACTGCACCATCACCCGGGCAGAGATGCACACCTCGACACTTGCTGTTGCACACGCAAGCGGTTTCTGCAAAACAATGGCTCTTTTTGAAAAAAATTAATAAAAAATAAAGTCCTCCACACAGTGTGTAGAATTTACCAGCACAAGTACAAGACTTGTGTCCAAGCTCGGTTCTCCCCCTTCTGGTTGCTAATGAATCTAAAGGATAAGGAAGGACATTTGTCCTATAGTATTCTGAGAACGGAAACTCTCCATAACGGAAGCTTATTAAACATAAAACGCCTCTATACTAAAGACAGGATATCCTCTTCGCTGTGATGAAGAATCAGCAGAGTTTGAGTGGACATACTCGCCCTTGTTCAGTTTTCTGTTGAGCCAGCAGGGCTTGATAGTGCACGGAGACGATGATAAAAGGGATCAATGCCAATTTAGAGGGAGTTAACCTGTTTCTGACTAACAACTGGGGAAAAAACACTTCAGGTGAAAACTGAAGCACTGGTGGTCAAGGGCATCTCTGCTCCACTCATACTGTGATGTCTAGTGGCTATCCTGCTTATCTGAATAATAGGACCCTACATAATCATAATTTAATACAGAAAAATTGTGTTGTGTTTAATCCAGAAATGTTTTGCTTCTTTAATCTAATTAAAGAGATGGCACTGACCTGCTGAATTTTAAAGAAAATAACGGGGTCAAGACAACTTCCTCTCCTGACATCACAATAAAAAAAGAATATGGAACATTAGATCTATTATTTTGGAAATGTTTGGAATTTGTGCTTGATTGGTTTTCAAATTATTCATTGTGTTTTGGGAATTTTCAGTGAATTTTCAAAGAGTATAACTAGATGTTTACTTTTATTTTTATACAATTTACATTTAATAGATTTTAAGGGAAAAGTAAGAAATATATATATATATTTTTTTAATTTTACAAGTTGCTTCAAAAACACAATTGGACAGATTGTATCAGATTGGGAACACGGAACACCCATTTAAAATTGTGTAATAAAACAGTAAATTTATATTCATAACAAAATGCTAAGTTGGGTTCATGTATTTATTGTGAAAGGTGATATTTCTATGCCTGAAAAATGTAAAACATTCATTTAAATAAATCTCTACTAAATGCAATCGCTCCTAATGCATATGAAAATTAGTGTGCATACAAAGCCGATCATTTATCATTTTATTTTAAACCTGACATTTTAATGAGTTTCAAAGGAGACGATAAAATTACTTAATTAGGCTTAATTAGGAAATAATACATAATTTCATAATTTGAAAATTCGTGATGGGGAAATACAATAGATTTTTCCAAATGTCTTTTTTCTTTGTTTTCTAAATAATTTTCTTCCACAGTGTCTATGAAGCCATAAATCAACAGTGTCTTCTGCTTCAAACACTGGGGGGGAAAATCCCTTTTCCTCTGGTTCCTTGAGGTTCCGTTCCGTCACACAACAGATATAGCGCACACACTTTCCCTCTGTGTAAAGAGGGAGTCATCTTCAGCATAATTACCAGGCGTGAGGTGGGGG